AGAGAGAGAGAGAGAGAGAGAGAGAGAGAGAGAGAGAGAGAGAGAGAGAGAGATTTGGAATAGTTTAATTTGGCTACTAGAAGAAAGCTTGTGGTAGACATTGCCAATAGTCCTTAAAGCACCAATAAGAGAGATGATGACTTCCTTTTCTTCTAGAAATAAAAGAGAAATGTTGAGGAAAGAAGCAAATGTGTAAGTTATAAAAATTATTTAGGTTCTATTAAAAAGATTAGGTTATTTGTTTAGAAATAAAAATTACATTTAAAGTTCTTAAGGAAAACATTGCCATAAACACTATTTTGAGAGAATAATTGCAAAATATGGAACTGAATTTACATAGAAATTGCTTTATTGTATGATGTAAGGCTTTAATATTTTTATTTTAAATATGTTTTATAGATTTGGGGAGAAGAAAAAGGTAACATAGGAGAGTGGTATGGAGGTGCTACTATGGGAAACAGGAAGCCAATTTTGCCCAAATCTCCTGAGAGAGGATGCATGATTCCCTAGATAACTCCCCTAAAGGACAGGAAATTGAAGAGTTCATATTGTCTTTGGTTCTGCTGACTAAGGCTAAGCACAAAGGCAGGAACTCCATGGACTGAATTGTACAAAGGCCAAGTGGGTATCTCGCATTGTAGAAAAGTTTCTTGAACAAAAGTGAAAGGCTCATGTCATAAATTTGAAGTGAAATCCAGTGTACACAGGACTAATAGTTTGACTCATAGCTTTTGAATGGAAGGTAGACTGAAAGTGCATAACAAGGGAAACCAGAAGAATCTGCTATAAAAATCAATAAATATTTGAATGTGTATCTCTTGTCTTATTGGAGTTTATAGGCAATTGAAGTAAGGGAAATGCAAAGAATAAATATTCAAGTTTCACATATTTATCATGAGCAGCCAAACGACAAAAGGAACAGTCATTTCCTCATAATTAATTTAGGTGAAGTTTCAAAGATGAGTCTACTGTGAAAGTAAGTTTGTTCCTATAGCTTTAAGGAGTGCATTTTCTAAAATTTATTTTAGCACCCTTTTCACTCATAGTCCTGGGATATACTAGTCATAGTGCAAAAACCATTGCTTTAGATAAATCATTTAATTTAGCACTGAGTGTAAGACATACACTAATAGTGGCTTGCTTCTGAGATTTATAGGCTAAGAATTTTCTATAGCAAGAAGTCATAACCTACATAGAATTAGCAACTGCCATAGGTACAAGAGCAAGAGAGCTTGAGGAATGGAGAGAGATCACAGAACAAAATGGTTGATTATATCAAATCAGCAGAAATGAATTCTAACATGCAACCTAAGTGAGCTGGTACATAAACCAGACCACACCGATATTTAGCAATCCTAACAGAAGAAGAAAGCAGGCCTGATGGAACAAGAAGACATTGTAGGGCAGAGTGATACAGCTGGCAACTGCAATATACCAGTTTTGCCTTATTTTTGGTAAGTGTGGATTTTGGCCATTTTCATGGCATTATGTGAAGTAACAATGAAAATGTGAAATCTATCCAGAAGACAGCAACACAATCATGTAGGAAACTGCAGTTGTTCAATGTATGGAAGGAAATTCTCAAGAGACCTTAGAACTGTTCTAAATTATCTGGGCCAAGAATCTCTTTGAGTTATGCCACAAATCGTGAAGACAAACTTTGTAGATTCAATCTCTTCTTATGTTCAAGACCCTGAAGATACACTCAAATAAGCTTCAATTATCTCATCTTTTAAGGAATTGTACCCCTGGGGGATAGCATAAGTATTAGAGTGGTTCACTGAAAGTTCTACGCAAAGTTTTTGATATTTCATGAAATCTCAATAACATATGATACCTCTATCATTGCCATTTATTCTTATTCTTATTTTGCCACTATTGAAAAATAAAATCAGTTCTTTAACACTCTGGAATCTTTCATTTTATTCTTCATTTTCCCCTTGATAGAATGATTGCAATACAGATTCAAAGAAAGTAAACTGAAGGGAAATTTGGTGACGTGCTAATAGGCAAGCATGGCTAATATTTTAAAAGCTTAAAAATAGACCTAATGAATTACATACCTAGAAAAACAGTGTCATGTTTCTAATATGACAGTGTAACATTAATTCTATTCATGAATATGGTATCTTGTCCAGGATTTTCACCAGGGCAGATTTGACATCCTTATTCCTTAGGCTATAGATAAGAGGGTTCAGCATAGGCACAACAGTAGTATAAAACACAGAGGACACTTTTCCTTGGTCCATAGAGCTAACAGATGAGGGTTGCAGGTACATGAATGCAGCAGAACCAAAGAACATAGCAACTGCTGAGATGTGGGAGCTGCAAGTGCTGAAGGCTTTGGACCTTCCCTCAGTGGAGCGAATGTGGAAGATGCTGACTATGATGAAAATGTAGGACACAAGGATGGTTAAGGTGGGAATCAGGATGTTAAATGCACTTAAGAACAAAATCAGTAATTCATTGATATAGACACTGGAGCAGGATAGCTCCAAGAGTGGAAAAAGATCACAGAAATAATGGTTAATTACATTGGTCTTACACAAAATGAGTTTCAAAATAAAGCCTGTGTGAATTGTAGACCCAATGATACCGAAAATATAAACCCCTGCTGTGAGGCAGATGCATAGGCGGTAAGACATGATGATGTTATAAAGCAAGGGGCTACAGATGGCAACATAGCGGTCATAAGCCATTGCAGCCAGCATGTGGCATTCTGCAATAGCAAACACAGAGAAGAAGTAGAGTTGAGTCATGCATTCAGGGTAGAAGATGATGTTCTTCTCCATCACAAAGTTCACCAGCATTTTGGGGGTAATGACAGTGGAATGGCAAAGGTCAATGAAGGACAAATTGCCAAGGAAATAATACATTGGTGTGTGCAGGTGAGAACTGAGCCCGATCAGGGTGATCATGCCCAGATTCCCCACAACTGTGAGTACATAGATTCCCAGGAAGAGGAAGAAGAGGGGCAGCTGGAGCTCTGGCTGCTCTGTGATCCCAGCCAGGATGAATTCAGTGACTGTGGAATGGTTTCCTTCCATGTCCTCTGTGCAGTTTCTGAAGGGGAGAAAGACTTTTTTGTTGAAGGTACTACATTATCCTTTTCCATTTACATAAGATTTCGCCGTATTTCCAGTTAAGTATTCCTCTGATCTCTATATGATTATTTAACATATGAAATCTAAATGAAATGACAAAAACTTCATGATCTCAATAATAACAGTGTTGTATGCATTTTAGTATGTGGAGCTTCTTTCTGAAATATCCTTCATTTGTCCATATTTTCATTTCCATAAAGGAGGAGTTTTTTTTTTCACCTTGAATAGTGCTTTTTGCCATTTTCTTATTTATGCATATTATATTGAAGAGATTCACAATTAATTTCTTAAATTTTAAATATTTTCCATGATCTTAAAAAATTCCAAAGGAATATTTATATAACACAAATAAAGAAATGAACTAAAAACAAATAGAATGGACTAATGAGATGAAATAAGAACTAATAAGAAAAAAAATAAAAATAGATTAAAAAGAAGACAAGAACAATTTTAAAATTTTAAAATTGTACTTTTAAGAAAACTGTACCCTTTAGACACAAGCATAGCTGCCCAAGATTACAATGGTCTGTTTAGCCTTACTGGAAACTGACTCAAAAAAGAAAAGAAAGAGAGGGGAGAGAGAGAGAGAGAGAGAGAGAGAGAGAGAGA